TTTTTTTAAAGGGGGGGGGGGGTTAGGGGGTATTGGGGGGTTAATTTATGTGTTTCATATATTGTGTTAGCTAGCTAATTAATAGAGAGAGAAGTGTCCTCTCTTATCTCCGTGCTTGGTCGACGCTACGTATTATATGTATAGAGAGGACTAGACACGGTAGCTAGTAAGCAATTGAAGGAAATAGAAGATCATCGTGAACATATGCATACAGAGAGAAGTGATATCGACCACCTCTTCTTCTCTGAGAGACTGGTGGAACAACAAGTTCTCGTATATCTATCCGACGCTACTGGCTACATATATACAATATAAATATCTCTTACAATATAATCTCCTAATTCCAAATGAACTCAGGGTCCACATGGTATTCTCCGTCTTTAGCGATCACGTGGTCAAGAAAGAATGCCGCTAATTTCTCTTGAATTGCTCGCATACGATCTGGTGGTAGGAGTTCATCCCGCATCCAAAATATATAATTTGAAGAAGGGGGTCAATACATATATATGAATAAATGAAACTCAACAGAAATGATGGTAATAAAATAAAATTGTGAATATTATTATTTACGCACTTCATAGTGTTTGTCAGAGTAGCCCCGCTCACAGGTTGTGTGGCAGATGGACTCGCAAATGTAGTATCCATAGTAATCATTCTCTTGTTCCTGCCACAACCACTTTACAAGAAATAGAGGTCAATCAAACTGATAATTAGCAAGCATGCTAAATGGTATTGATGAAACTAGCGCTTGAATCGCTAGGAGATGCGCGGAACATGCTACTATAGTACTTACTTTCGGGTGTCTAAATTGCAGCTTCTTCGGCAGTCCCGGAGTTTTTGAGGTGAATTTTTTCCAAACCCTGACAGACAAAGAAAACAATTACTTGATATCATGAAATGAACAAAGTTGCCGATATGGTGCGATAATGATCGATTTAACTTATCTCTCTAGAATTTCAGTCATGTCCGCATACTCCTTGGGATCTTTTCGTCTTGAGTCTAAGATGGTTACTAGTCCCTGCTCAAACTTAATCTCTAGGAGAATATAGTGGAACCTGCGCACGCATGCATAACTCATCAATTACATTACTATAACCTCGACTAATAAGGGAAACAGAATATGCACAAAACAGTAACACTCACTTGAATTCGTAAGGGAAGAGTATTATAGCTTTGTTTTGATTTAATACAAACGATTGTAGCAGCTTGGCCTCGGTATCTTTGGCCTGAGATTCAACCATATATTCATCTGTGAGATTTGTGTTAATGAACCCAATATCACCGATTTTTCTTTTCTTCAATTCGGCGATCTTCAATCTGCATAATATAGTGAGGATAATTAAAAATACATGCAATGAAAAAGCTGACCTATATATAGACTTAATGACAGAAGTAGTACTACTTACAGGCAGTAGCAAGTGATCATTAATTTATCGAGGGCCTTTTGATTGAAAAACGCGAAGAACTCCTCAACTGGAACATTCAACAGTTCAATTCCAACGAGGTCATGCTCCTCTCTAACTCTCAGCGTCAAAATATTCCTCCCCTTAGACTCTCTGCAGGTTTTCATGTACCAATCATGGAATCTTCGCATCATCGTTGTTAGAGATCTTTCATCTTTGATGAGAGGCTTCCCGTACACGTATTTGTGTTCGTCCACCTCCAAGAAATCATAATGTACACCTTCGGGCAGGTAATCTTCAAGATTCTTATAACCGGGCACCATCCCGCCCGGATCATTAGCGACGATATTGCTAGACACCTGGAGCGGCGGGAACGATTGGTTCGCTTGTTCGCCGAGCTGGGCAACTATTTTCCCAGCTCGTCGTTCTGCTAACCTTTGACCACTGACAGTACTTCTTGACCACTCCGCTTCGATAAATGACTTTGTAATAATGCGCTCATAGTTGCCTTTCACCGGAGACTTTGGTGGTTTCTTCAGGGCAGCCAGAGTATGCTTCGCTTTTACCGGATCTATC